AAAGCTGACAGGACAAAGAAAGATTGTCCTATATATGACAGTGGTCCCTAGCAGCCTAAACCAGAGGATTGCTCGCCCGCCACGCGAAAGGAAGGCATACACCAGTTATATCATTTGCGACCTCACCTCGTTTTTACTCGCCCGCCTATAGCCGACCTTTACGAGAAAATTGTAACTGAATAAAATTTGTCATCTGCTACATTTTCGTTTCATGGTACTTTTTTTCTTGGGTAACTGTTGTGGATTCCGGGTTGAAATCCGGTACCAATAAATAACAAACGCCAGGAATGAATATATGAAAATAATGTATTAACGTAATAATACAAACTGGTAAAGCAGGTTAGTAGTTCCAGGAATACGGGTTAGTAGCAAAATATATATATACAGTCTTTGGTATTGAAGTATCGCTGTATGACTTCTTACTGAGCCTACGTGTTCGCTCACTGTTACCTCACCCCTCACTCTTCCGGTTACCTACAACCTTTTACTCTGTCACTCTGGACTCGACTCGACTCTCGGGTATTCACTGGCGGTAATATGAGTATACACTGGGTTAATCCATTTGTATAAAAGGGGGTGGACCCCTCAACAGTAACGATCCAACCAAATAATTATTTTCCTTGTATTGAACCACAAGCGTTCGACTGGAAGAAGCTACACCCTGCAAGCGTACATGGTGTCTGCCTTGAACTGCAATGCTATACAAAGCTCAACATAGAGGGCTACAGAGTAAGGGCCACAGTTTATACATATATGTATGGAAGATACCGGTTAAACCTAGAACTAAACCCGAGGAAATTTATAAATTGACCGAAACTATAACAACTAACTCTCCTCATTTAAGTTCTGGGATCTTTCAGCCAACTGATATCTAACACAGTGTATCTCTATCTATAAAAGGTAGGATTTTTGACGGATTTGCACCAAAATTTACATGCACATGCTCCAAGTTAGCGGGAAGGCCAAGACTGACTTTGCATTTCCCAACTCCCATCGATAGTGGAAATAATCGATTTTTTCATGCTTCTACGGCAGTTTTCATGTAGTTTGCGGCCATTTTCTACTGGCCAGAGTGAGAGCCTATAGCTGGCTGCCACAAATAGGCAGGAAGATTCTATTGGCCAGCGTGAGAGCCAACAGCTGACTGACACGAATGTTAACTAGCAAGCTAGCATGCAAAAAAAAAAACATCGATAGCCGCATTCGTCACAAGTGGGAAAAATTTAAATCTGCATGGCACTTTACTCCAATTGGCTCATTCGCTTGCTTAAACTCAACATTGATTCTGATTCCGCAGAACTGGGTTGGGTGTGAAAAAGTATTTGTTGTTAACATTCTTTTTTCATTCGCTTTTTCCAGTTACGAGTCCTTTTTTTAAAGCTGATCGTTTTGTGTTCATTTTATTTAGTTCTTTTTTCGTAACAGATTTAATGTTTAGTATAGAGCTTAGAAAAAAATCGCAGTGTGAGATAGGCAAGAAGTAAGGTGTGTAGCAATATCAGCACGGAAAAGGGCATTCTTTTAAACGCAAGGAAGGGCAAAAATATTTTAAGTCAAGTAATTGTGATTGTTGTATGAGTCGTACGATTTTTGAATCAAGCACGGGCAGCGCCGTGCCATGCTGCTAGTCCATTAATATAGAATTCTGTCAAGTTGAATATCACAGAATATCTATCTGAATATATCATTCAAGTTAATTTGACTGTCATTTACAGTGATGTTCATCCTGTACAAGGCCCCAGAGCCACTCTAGGTAGATGGCAACAGAGTAGGATGGACAGTTTTTGCGGATATGTGGGGAAGATAACGATTGTCTAGACTTGAACAGTTTTAGACTGTAGTGATCTGAGAAGCATCCTCTTGGGAGTCAGTTCCTCAAGGCAGTGGGAAGAAGCTGGTCGAGTGGATCTTACATCTCACCAAGGGAATACGATGAGAATTAGGGTGGTTTGCTACAATGGGCGTGGCATGGCGAGTGAAGGTTATGACTGGTGAGTCTGAGGAATGTAATTCATCTGAACAATCTCCATGGAAATATCGATAGAATAGCGAGCGGGCTTGCGATGTTTCGCCTTTACAAAAGGGGCTGCAGGGTGTAAAGGGAATTTGTCACCTACAAGAACACGGAGAGGCTTTTGGACTCTATCAAGACTGGAAAGCGAAGGCTGGACAGATTCTGTCCTTAGGCAAGGTAAGATTCCATCTTCGCATCTCCCTCTCCCCCACACACACCAGATATAGTTTTAGGGAAAATGGAAACAAAATGGCGCATACACAGTAACAGAAAAAGGCACCTGAAATTTCAGGGACGCACAATGAAGAAAGTAGGCGTCGAGAATTGAACTCACAGGACATTCGAAGGAAACAGGAACATAAAAAATTGTGAATGAATGGGAGAACGAGGGGGTCGACGGCTTGGCAAGGGGACAAATGTGGGTAATGTTGATAGGAGGTTATGGAGTATTGCTGCCATATATGGTCTGGTGCCCCTTCTGTTTGCCTCGGGGTTCTTGATAGGCTCCAGAGGCGGATATGCAATGTGGTTGGCCCTGCCCTGGCGTCTCGTCTACAGTCACAGACGCACCGTCGCCTCCCTCTGTCAGTTCTACAAATACTTTCATGGAAATTGCTCCGAGAAGCTGCATTCGCTGGTTCCCAGACGTCATGAGTTCCAGCGCCCTACGAGGCTGGCATCCCGCTCTCACCCCTTCACTGTCGAAACTTCTAAATGTAGCCGTCTCTTCTACTCTAATAGCTTCATGTCTCGCACCTCTCGCCTGTGGAACTCCCTTCTCTTCTCCTGTTTCCCTGTGAGCTTTAATCTCCAGCTATTCAAGTGTAATGTCAATCGACATCTCCAGTTGCCTTGATCTATCCACTACCCTCATCCTTTCTTCTATCACTCCTATCTGATCTTGCTCTAAATTTTCTGTAACCCCTTGCGTCCTAGTGGCTTCCCGCCTTGCTTGGGGTGAAATGCTTAAAGAAAAAAAAAAAAGAATGATAAACGGCCACGTCCTTAAGCGACGCGCTACATAGAAGATGTAGCTTTACGAAGGTGCAAATTATACGGACAATGAAAAGATTATGGAGTGTACAATTAACTACACCGGGGGTTGTGAACTCAATGACCTCGGTTAGACCGAATATTATATATATATATATATATATATATATATATATAATGAAATGGATGGTCCGACATGTTTTAATATATTTTAGGTCTATACGTTATTTTAATAGATACAATTTATTTAAGTCAATGATCTGTTTTTTTAATAAACATTAT